GCATCCAAAAGTCATTACAAACATGATCCCTAACACATGAAACTAGGGTTCTTCATACCCAAATGAGATAAAGGTATACTCCATAGAGAGAGAGAGAGGAAAACAGAAATCAAAGCAGTCATACTCATAAAGATGGGAATAATCTGCCTTGGGATGTCAATCTTCCCTCGTAGGGATGCAATCTAGGTTTTTTTTTTACAATTATGCAATCTGGGCTTCAACGGTGAGAAATCCACTCCAAATAACTCCTAGGGTTTGTTCTTCGCACTTTCTCTCTCTAGAACTCTATTTTTGCTCCAAAAAGTCGAATCCCCCTCTCCAAAATCCGAAATTGGGATTTTATGCAGTTTCTTGCGATTGCACGGCCAAAGTGCACAACCGTGGAATCCCATTGTCTTCCCGTGCACCCCAAAACGCGTCGTTTCATTTAATTCCACCAGGGGGTGCACGGCCATTGCACGACCCGTGCAATCCGAAAGCCTGGACGTGCAATGCTCTCGCAGAAATCAGCACGGCCACAATTTCATCGTGCACGGCCGAGCAAAAAACAGGGTCAGACCGTGCAGCTTCTCGATAAATCCTGCACCGCCACAAAGGCAACCATGCACGGCCGTGCCCTTTCCCGTCCTAGCCGTGCAACTTGTCTGATCTCCCTTCGCTCGTCCGGATTTCGCCCAATCGACCCCAAACTTGTGCTCAAACTTTCTTTCACACATTAAGACCTGAAATGTCATAAAAAAGAACAACCTAGCGTAAAATTGACTTAAAACTCGAGATCCGAGCCTCAAATAGTATAAGAATGGTGGAAAAAAATATGTGCAAATATCGAGTCATCAATGAGGTGGCATGGCTCCTTTGTTAAACCGTTATAAAAAATTTCCACTTGTAACCAATCGGCGATGCTATGATGTGGACATTTGAGTATGAGAGACGTAAACCTTTAGCATGCTTCAAAAAATGGCTCATCCTGCTCTTGACGGAACATAGTAATCTCACTTCTCATTAAAGTCATCTTGGAAGGTGGAATGTATCGTGCGAAGAACTTGTCAAAAAGATATGCACACAAAATGATGGAATAATGGGGGTAGTTATTCAACCATTGCTTTGCCGCTCCACTCAAGGTAAATGGGAATAACCTCAAACAAATTTCTTCTTGATGAACCCCATTTATCTTCATTACTTCCGTCAACCCATAGAACGACTTGATATGCGCGTGAGCATCTTCATTCATCATCCCACTGAATTGGACCGCACTTTGAAGCATTGAAATTGTGCCTGGCTTTATCTCATAGTTTTTGTTGGGGAACGTTGATGAAGAATAGGTGATTGAACATTATCCATGCTTGGCTTTGAGTAAGAACCCATTGTTCTATGCCTTGGTGGAGCTTGAGCTTGTTGTTGTTTATCTGCCATTGGTGGAGATTGATGTCTTGCAAATCTTCTTAAGTTCCGTAGGGTTCACTCGATTTCCGATTCAAGAGGTAGTATCTCCAAGAATCCCTTCTTTGCATACAAAGCCGTTACAAGACACAAACTCGACAACCTATGACACACAAAGTTGGATAACAAAACACAAACACGAAACAAACTACAAAAGTAACAAAAGCACAAACAAAAGCACAACAAAATAAAGACTAAACTAACAACTCAATGGTTTTCTACTAGCTACCAAGGTTCCTAGGCAACGGTGCCAAACGCTTGATCGATTTCATCCGTGCAAGTTATTTTCAATGGTTAGCATGTGTCAAAAACTACCCCATCCTAGACCAAGTTTGACCTATAATGGTGTTGTCGTATAGTGGCAATCAAGACTGTATTCACTCGGGTCCTGGTACCCTAGCCTACTTCCCACGTTATTGCTATCTAGCCAATCGGTTTAAGGGTTTTGTTTTGGAGGATATGAGTGAACTACTAGTTAAGAAGACAAATAAAGATAAAAGCAAGTATTTTTGGGAACTATCCATCACCGTAGCTTAGGACTACTACGCAATGTCTAGATACTTAGGGTTTGTCGAATGTGGTGAGTGAGCTCTTTTCCGTGAGCTTTCATGGTTATCCACACGCCTCCAAGTACGCCTCCCCTAAACCCATTTATAGTCACCTCGATCTAGGTTATTATATATGGGCATTAAACTCGTAGCTCATTTCAATGGGTACTACCCACCATCCATACCAAGCTTTCATTTTGGGTTCTATCTAGGAAGGCATTCCTATGGCAGGGGTTCGGTCGCCTCAAACACCATAGGATCCTTTTCATAAATCTAACCTCAATTTGTTTGATGGCGCATACTCGTCTAGCCCTAAAACTTCATACCCAGCATAGTATCTCAAGTAGGCTAGTAGAGAAGATTAGGGCGACTTAGTCCAATACAATCGAAAATAGAATAGCATGCAAATCTACTAGAAAAACAAAGGGGTGGGCAACGGAACGGGACTGGGTACTCGTCCCATTTGAAACGGGTACTCAGCCCCATTTGAAGTAGAAATTTCATCTCATGTTCCAAACCCGTACGGGACCGGGTACTCACGGGTAACCCATGATCCTCTTCTTTTTCCTCCGCTCTCAAACAAATCATTTCCCACCATTTTTCCAGAGCCTAGCAGAAAAAATTGGAATGGAACTGGTGGTTACAACAATCCTATTGATCACTACAAGGAGACACGCCGTCCTCTTGCCGTAAAGCTGGGGACAATAACTTCATACTTGGAAGCAGCATGTAATGGCTGCTCATGTTTTGAAAAACGCAGTATTTATCTTGTATTGAACTCCTTACTTTGTCGCTGATTCTGGTTTTTCGCATCCTCAAAAATTTATTTTCTTTTCACTCTTGCTTTTTCCTTTTTTTGTTTTTGTTGTTGTGAATTGTGCTCAATAGGAACTCATCTAGTTAATTACAATAAATGAAACAGAGAACTTGTTACTAAGTTATGATTCCGAGGAGATTAAGAAATGGATGATTGCGGAGTGGGTTAAGAAAATATTATATGGTTGGATAGAAGGAAGAACAGTAGATGGTAACTTCAGTTTTGAAGTCATGCAGTGGAAGTGAAAAGAAGTTTGACGTTGAGTCGGCTCTGGCCTTCTATAAAAATGAATTTCATGGTTGCTTGCATGTTGGATGACATACAGTTAAGTTGATTATACCAGTTAAGACTTCTTTGTGATCTTCTGTTTTATCTAATAAATTTAAAATGCATTTTTCTGATATCAAAAGTTGAACCATGAAAATGTGAAATTAGATGCGACGCAGCTTGTAGCTACTGAGATGCAGTTGCCGAAAGCATGCTCATAGGAAGGAGGGGCCATGACCCCCTATAAAATTTTGGATGAGGATAAAATCACACCTGGCCAGATAAGATTAAAGTATCCTTTCTGGCCTAGTGGTTAAAGAAGAGCAATTACATAGTTGTAATCGGAAAGGACCTGGGTTTGATTCCCACCTCAATGTTTTTAAATGGGAATTTTGAACTATGTTATGTCCATTTTTAGTTTTTTCACATTTTTTTTGTTTTCTTTTGCAATGCTTTTAAATGGGAATTTTGAACTATGTTATGTCCATTTTTAACTTTTTCACATTTTTTTATAACTCTTTTTCACATTTTTAAGGCGAATAGTATTTACTATTTTTTAGTTTATTTCACATTTTATAGATGAATTTCACACTTTTTCATATGATTTCAAGTTTTGAAATTTATTTCACTTTTTGAGTTGAATTTTATGTAATTCATAATTGAAATTTTATCGTGTTCTTGTTTTACTCTCACGGTAATATACTCGAAGTTTCAATTACAAACCGTAAAAATAATATGTTGCATGATAAAATACTTCAAACGAGATGTATCATGTTGTTTAGATTTCACATAATTATATGTTATTTTTGTATAAAAATCTTGTATATAATTAGAAAGTGATATTTTTGTTGCAAAAAAAATTGTTGGCCTCTCCTACCGAAAAATCCTAGCTCCGTCGCCGAAAGCAGTAAATTGTTGAAGATAACCTTGTCTCATAATTGCAATAAGTTTTCATATTTGAAGGAAAGCACTTGGATATATCAAGACAGCCGGGGGCTAATTTGAATGGCTAGCACTGCTTGCCTTAGATATTCGAAATTTGTTGTAACATTGATTGTTCTTTAAACTAATGCTGCTAACGATTAGTGACACCTCAGATTAGACCTGGCAAATTATAACCCGACCCGTTGACCCGATCCGAAACCATCCGAAAACTAGAATTTTTCCGTAACCCGAAATCCGAATGACCCGAACCCGATAACCCGTGATTTTTTGGGTCGGGTTGGATGGGTTAGCGGGTCGACCCGTAAGACCCGTTCCATTTAATATATTACTCCAAAAATATGATAAAATCACTCATAAATTGGTGAGATGTTTAAAAAAAATCACAAGGATTTGAATGACATGTTTGGAGTTTAAGGGTAATCAAATATCAAGTGTTTCTTGTATTAGTATTACACTTGTGATTTTTTTTTTTGCGATTTGCGCAATTTATATTTCATTTCATTAGCGTGAGAGGATTTGAGAATATGTTAATTGACATGTGTTAGGTAAACTATTGTCATGCATATGTGATAATTTGTGTTCGTTAAGAAAATATGAAGCATGTTTGATATTGTTTCTGAGAACGCTCATAACCCGAAATGACCCGTAACCCGACCCAAAACCGAATGGGTTGGGTCAATATTTGACCCGAAATAAGCCAAGCAAATATGACCCGACCCATAACCGAAGTTCCCAATCCGAAATTATCCAACCCGACCCGATTGCCAGGTCTACCTCAGATGTATTCTCTTACTTGAGAGGGTAGTACGGGTACCCATTAGAGAACTTCTTAATTTGAAATCTTATCCCGTAAAAAAAGTTACGGACACCCATACCCGTTTCCCGTTGCAACCTCTGATCGTCATTAAAACTCTAAAATATCCATACGTACATAGTAACCCTGAAATTATAAAATTAGGGCGATAACAGTAAAATTTTATATTTAATGTCCTGTACGATTTTCTGAACCATGATTTTACCTCAGCCACGAGACGGCCCAGTGACGAACTCCCGAGATCCGTGTTCAATCAAGAACCAGGTGCTTCATCGACTTCGACGATTCAATCGTCGCTCATTACCGTGCCGAGCTCATTATTCCTTCCTTTCATCAATTGTTATCATTCTGCTGTGATTCGTTGCTAGGAAGCGTATCCCAATGAAGGATTCCCGACCGAATGAGGGTCGCTGATGCGCGGAATTTGATCACCTTGCTATAATGGGTTCTGCCTAAATTTCTGGTAGCGCCTTCGATTCAACTCCTCCCATTCCTCTTTATCTTCTTGCTCAGAATCTGTGACTGATTGGACTTGTAAGTTCTTTTTTTCCCCCCTTTCCCCTCTTTTGGGGTGTCATTAAGATATGCAAAGTAAAGTTTGGAAATGGGTACTGGGCTTGGTGTACATTTTTGCTGTAGCAATCATCTGGATAGTTGCTAGTTTCGTGGTGCAGTCAGTTGTTGATGGTGGAGTTTCCCCGTTCCTCATCACTTATATTTGCAATTCATTGTTCGTGGTGTATCTTCCTATAGCTGAAATTGCTCGATATTTGGAGGACTGGAGGGATAAGAAGAATGTGACTTCATTAGAACTGAGAGAGTCAGAGAAGGATATTCTTCTTGAAGAGTCCGAACTAAGCAAGGAATATGAATACGATGGATCCACTTCCAATCCATCCGTGCCTGTAGAGGAGGAAGTGGTGGAGGAGCAAGAAAGTGGTGGTCACGATTCGAGATTGGATACCATCATATCTTTTGAGGTTGAACCACCCTTTCCTGTAGATGATCGTGTCAATAAAGGAGTTGACTCCAAAGGGAGGTGGACTCGAACAAGGTTGGCATGGGTCAGCTTGCTCATTTGCCCATTCTGGTTTACTGCACAGCTGATGTTCAACCTGTCTCTGAAATATACGACTGTGACAGTAAGCATACGCAGGGTTCATAAAATTCAAAATGTTCTGATTGCGACTCATTTGAGGTAATATAACAGATAATTTTTTTCTTGTTATCTGCAGTCGAATACAATTTTGAGCAGTACGTCCAGTCTGTTTACCTTTTTGGTGTCCCTAGTTTTCCTGAGCGAGAAGTTTACCTGGGTAAAGTTTCTTAGTGTTCTTCTATGCATGGGTGGAACCATTATTGTCAGCTTGGGTGACTCAGAATCTGGACCAAGTACAATTGCTTCAAAGCCTCTTCTTGGAGATGTTTTTGCTCTTGTATCAGCTGGATTCTACGCTGTCTACATTACACTCATCCGCATAAAGCTACCAGATGATGAAGAGAAAAATGGTCGGGCCAGTATGGCTCAGTTCCTTGGATTCCTGGGTCTTTTCAATCTCTTCATTTTCCTGCCAGTTGCAGTTGTGCTTCATCTTACTAAGCTAGAGCCTTTCAGTGCACTTACGTGGAAGCAGCTTGGACTTGTTGTTGGCAAAGGTAGTTAATTTCATCCCTTCTTGTATATTTGCTTACTGCCCTGGCTTTTGGTAAAGAAGTTTTGTATTTTGAACCGAGAATGTCTCAAGTATTTTCACTGACCCTGTTCAAACCATTGTGTATGGATAGTATATGGTCCCCTGTCGCATTTATTGTTGTGGTGTCCTTTCCCATTCCTGATTCCACCGAGAATACTCATCATGTGCTCATTAAGATACTTGAGAATTTGTGAGTCGTCAGAGTCTTAGGGAGGAGGATCAACTGTTTTAAATCGCATCGGGCAAGTTACTTTCTTTTGCCTCCTGCAAATGTATTTCAAATATTTGTCTGAAAAGATGTATTTGCATGACTTTGTTCTCCAAATTAAGTTACAAGAATGATGCCCCGCGGCGGCGCGGGCGAGATTCAATAGGGGTAACGAGAGTATAAGCAAAGTGGGTTTTTAGGAGAAGCCACTAAGATGTTGGAATGGCCAAAAGGATCTATTGGATGAAAAAGGAGAGTGAGATCCAAGGGTTGAAAGTAACATTATGGAAACCATGAAAATATTACAATAGTGTTTTTGGTTGTTCCTATTGTAGTTAAAATATATATATATATTAGGATGTGATATGGGGATGTGATGCCGTGATGCATCTTTTGAATATGACATCACAGTTTAGGCTACTCATTTGAGTCTGGAAGGAAGTTGGTTTGTGCAAACGTACGAAATCTGACTCTCTTCTGGCTTCAAAACAGGAATATTGGACAACGTGGTGAGTGACTACTTGTGGGCGAAAGCTGTGTTGTTAACAACCACGACAGTAGCCAGTGCTGGTCTTACAATCCAGGTCCCATTGGCGGCTATTGTAGATACCGTAACTGGCCATGCACCTCGTCTCATGGATTATCTGGGAGCCATAGCTGTGATGATTGGATTTGCTGGAATCAACATCCCTACCGATGAATATAAAGATCCCGGAGTAGAACCTGAAGATTGTCATGGTAGATGTGAAGTAACACAGGCCAATGTTTGAAGATGGCAGGGCTTGAGATGCATTCAACATTAACCACAGCTCCTTGTATAGAAGAGTTGATTGAACACCGTCGGTATCCAACCAATGCGACCACTTTTAAGATTGTATATGGGGAAGTCTCAAGGGCCAAAGAAAGGTAGTAGAGCCTCTGCTTATCCGTCTCTTTGTAACAACATTTTACAATTTTGCCGAATGTAAAACTAAACAGATCCATTGCAATGGAGGAATCAGGGTAAATAATAAAAAATCCAAATTATTCCATTAAATATCGGCAGCCATTATCGAATTTCAGGCATCATCAGCAGATGAATGAAGTTAGGCCCGTAGGCATTCCAGAGAGACCATAATGATAAATATACTCTCATTGTGATGGGTTTTTCCAATATTCCTTGTACAATAGCAGCATTTGGTAATCGGATGATACATTACTCTTAACTACGAGGCGAGGCAACATTCAGACTCCCATATCTCTGCATGACTCTTCTAGTTGCAAGAGCAGCGGCCTCGCTTGCACGCACTGTGCCCTGAGCCATGATGGCAGCAAATTCTCGACTAATCTCATCCTGCACTTTGCTTCTCGCATCTCCAAGAGGATCGGCGACAGAGGCTCTCTTCTCGCTTTTGGAAGGCTCAATGGCAGGAGGGACAGTGTTAACTGATAGAGTCTTGTTTTCTGACATGATTTTATCTCCATACTCCTTAGATGCAGCTTGTCCAGAAGAAGATAATGCACCATTAGCTGCGGATGTATTTGCAGTTTGTGCTTGCTGGCTAGACAATGTGGGCCTGAATTGTGGTGCTTGAGGGACAGCCCCTGCTCTCAGTGTCGACTCTAGATTCTGAATCATGGGCACTAGGCAAAACACGAAACATGCTTCACAATTAGAACTCCGGCCTATGAAAGATTTTTGAACAATTTGAAATTGTGCAGATCGGACTGATCGAGGTGATAGACTATCTATATAACACAAACATATGCAAAATGGAATGGAATAACGTCACGCTTCCTCAGCTAAAGAGAGGTGTGAAACGAGAGTAAGGGAGCAACTTACATATAAGAGAACCCATAGGACTGCTCATAACTTCATTAGGAAGCTGAAGAATGTAGTCTGGAATGCATGCCCCAACCAAAAATTGTGCAACCTCGTTGCTAAAATTGTTACAATTGTGTTTGAGTAAACTGTACGTTTCAGCCGTGTAGCGAGAGCTAATCTCATCCAAATACATTTCAAATACATCCTGGGGTACATGTGTGACTCCCAACTCTACGACTTTGATCGGTGTTCCATATGGAGTCCTTCCTGCAGTGTCCTTCTGTATGCCTCCCCCAAAGTAGTATTCATTGCCGTACACCACTACTCCTGTATGCCTGCAATGTCAACAAATGAGGAAGAATTTGGAGCCGCACTTCTAACCACAAGCTGTGATACTGGCTAACATTAGGGATAATGAAGCAAGTAAGAGGTTCGAACAGAGACTAGCTAACACCACATTCAGCACGCTAGTAGGTCCGGAAATAGACTCTCCCGACCAGCTGCCGCTAGATTTAGACAAGAATATTAGCAAGCTAAGCGGCTATGCACTCAATAATGCAATGCCTTTTCTTCTACTTTAGCATCTACTAAAGGTTAAAGGCATCCACCAACATGTGTATTCCTCTAAAGTTATGCAGGACTTTTCCATATTCACCTCCATTTCAGGATCCATAAACTCCTATGCAACTTCAGCACACAAGCACCATTCTTTCCGAGAACCAATAGTAACGGAGCATAACAAAGACAGCCAGAATCAGGCCAATGCTCCAGATACATTTTGATAGTAATCCCAATAACACCAAGCAGATGGTCGAAATAAAGGTCGTCCCCGAAGAACTTACACTATCCACCATGGACTGTGCACCCCGCACCTAATAGAATTAGACATTGATCGGTAAAAGTTTATGTACTAACCAAATACCCTCAATTGCTTTCCCGAGGAATGTTGTGGAGAGCTGACGTGCCAGTCCTTGACTGAGATCATACACATTCAAGGTAACCCTGTGCCCTTCCTGAGACCATTTCCTGAGTTTAGTAATCCAGCCCAGAAAACAAATTGAAAGGAAACAAGCAAAAGGAGAAGCCGGCCTCAACTCCAAAGCAAAAACGAAACTTACCTCCGCCATCCTGGAGAAATGCCTTGAAAGAGGGAGCTTCGAATCGGTAGATTAACAACAAACCAGGCGAACCCTTCTCCGCTACGCCTGCCAGGATCACAGAGAAATCGGAAACCCAAAAGTCACATTTCCAACACCGCAGAAGAAAATCCGCCTTCCATTATTACAGATCTAATCCCACAGGCAACATCGGAAAAAAAGAGACCGTAGGGCGTAGACCAAGCGGGAAACAAGAGCGACAGAAGAGATAAACGTAACCGACGTACCTGGAAAAATTCAGGGTATCGGCGCCGGGGATTCTTTAAGCGGGGCTATCCCAGGCGGTTAACGGTGGAGGAGAAACTAGAAAGTAGAGGGTAGCTGATGCCACGCAGGCTGAGAAGACAAAGGGAAAAAGAATTGGGGATGGGAGAGAGATTTTATAGTGGAGCTGCGAGGGGGTAATTTGGGCCCTCGTTTACGGAACGAAACAAAGCCCCGGGAGAGCTTGGAAAAGCGAAACTCTTCTTCTATTACGATCTAGAAGCGTCTTCTCAATGGACATGCGACACGTGGCTGTTTGACCCATGGTTTGCATTTTTTAAGCCAACTCCCGATCCGAGTCCCGTCCCCCGACCGCTATTTTCTTTGGTAGCTTACCCGACCGGTGTTCTGTTGATGGACTTCCTTTTCTTCCCCGAGACTGGATGTTAGTTTTTGAATGTAAAAATGGTTCGTTTACTTGAATGAAAAATTTCATGTGGGCAATTGACTTCAATTCCCTCCCCTCACAAATATCCCATAAAATTGACTTCAAATTTATATCGGTGACATTTTTGTGTATCCTAAAAAAATTTATTCTGCCTCATAGGTTATGCATTTACCTCACAAATTCGTCACATAATAGTCAGGGATGCCAATTGATCGGTTGGTTTATAACCGGAACTAATTAGTTGGATCTCGATTAACCGTTAAGTATTTTGTGTTTGCTGTCATTTATATTAGTCGGTTAATCGTAATTGTGTAGTCGATACTCAATTACGCTCAGTTAACCGGATAACTGTTAAGCAAGTGATTCGACAAAAATATACCTAAATAACTGTTCGGTAATCTAGCCAACTGAAGACCTTTTTTTTTCAATTGTGCATTAATGTAGAATTTTTTCTACATACGTATGCATTCTTTTTTAAAATGTTATCATTGAATAAAAAATAATTTGACATAGATATCAATCTATAATCAGGTCAATCTAACACAAGTACTTAATAACATCATTCTATCATCAAATTTGATTGAAAAAGAGACACAACAACAATTACTCAACTCATAAACCTCATCAAATCACATGAAAACTTATATGTTACAGACTGTTATCGAGCTACCGTGCGCAGTCCAACTTTCTACTGTGCTTCTTCTAAAACCCTCCATTGAAATTATTCTCGTTTAAACCTAACTCACTATTACAACTAGAGTATGCAAGTGATTTTGTAGACTTTCAAATATCCCATTATTTTTTGGCATGTGCATGCGGCTCATCGATGCCTATTGTTTTTTGCCCTAGCTATGGGGATGATCGTGATCAATTAGTCGAACTTTTTGGTTTAATAGTCAGTTAGCAATTAAGTAAATTTGGCTACCAAAAATCGATAATTTACTATTTAATTAGTGTAACCATTAACCAACTATTTCGATTTGGCTATCAGTTACACTGCTAACAAGATAACCGTTCATCAGTCCTTAGCTAGGGTTGGCAAAGGGACGAGTTTTCTAAACCATTCCCATTTTCAGATACCCAACACATATAACCACCTCAGATAAGTGAAAGGATATATTTTCTAACTCCATCTCATATATTGGTTTCCATGTAACCAGTGGAAAATACCCACTCCATGTACCCGATATTACTATACTTAAAGTTTAACTTATAGATCTTCAAATATAACAATAAACAACCTAAATAAGTCATGAAATCAACAAGTATATAGGCTTCTTCATATGAATAAGCATCTAATCTTACAACATTCATTAATCCATAAAATGAAGCAGATGAAGGAAAAATTTCAGAGGGTGTGCAATAAGAACAAATCGTTTGGGTTTGAAAGAGTGGAGGGAGGATTGAGGAAAGGAAATTATAGCTTTTGGGTGGCCATTCAATTACATTTCAATTGTTTTCTTACAATTAAACTTCCTATCATTGAGACATTGCAATACGATCATTATAATATATATATATATATATATATATATACCCATATATGGTGAATACTGGTGTACGCCAGGCGTATAGTATACGTCAGGTGATCTAGCCGTTAGATGTAGTTAGATAAGCTCCGGCCGATCTCAACGGTCAATTTTTGTTTTTCATTTAATCAAATTTTGGGTTAGGGTTTAGAAAATGGGTGCCTGGGGTTTATCCATTAGAGGTTAGGGTATAGTATCATACCCCAAACTCGATTTAATTCATGGTCTAGATAGAGATATCTCACTAGTAGTACCTGACATATAGTATACGCCTGACGTACGCAAGTCTGACCCATATATATATATATATATATATATATATGGCAAAGGCTAGCATACGCCCGGGCGTACCCTAGCCTACCGTACGCCGGTTGAGTTTTGTTATTTAGATAATGAATTAATCGAAGTTTGAGGCATGATACTATACCCTCACCCCTAATGGGTGAACCCCAGTCCGCAATTCACTAACTCAAACCATAGTATTCATTTAATCTTGAAATGATAATCAACAGTTCTGATTCGTCGAAATTATTGTTGATTTTCATTTTAAAATTAAACGAATATCATGATTTGAGTTATAAAACTAGGGACTGGGGTTTATCCATTAGTGGTTAGGGTATAGTATCATGCCCAAAAATCCGGTTAATTCATTATCTAAATAGCAAATCTCTAATGGGCGCACGGTAGTCTAACATACACTATATATGTGGCAAAGGCTAAACAATGAATTGATCAGAGTTTGGGGCATGATATTATACCCTAACCCCTAATGTTTCAATCCCAATCCCCAATTCACTAACCCAAACCATAAGATTCATTTTATCTTGAAATGAAAATCGACGATTCTGAGTCATTGAAATTATTGTTGATTTTCATTTTAAGATTAAACGAAATTTTCAATTTGGGTTAGAAAATTAGGGACTGGGGTTCACCCATTAGAGGTTAGGGTATACTATCATGCCCCAAACTCCGATTAATTCATGATCTAAATAGCAAAACTCAATTGGTCGTACGCTAGCCTGAATCATATATATGGGTCAGACTCGTATGCTTCTGGAGCATACTATGCTCCATGTACTCATAGTGAGATATCTCTATCTTGACCATGAATTAAATCGAGTTTGAGGTATCATACTATACCCTAACCTCAAATGGATAAACCCCAGGCCCTGATTTTCTAATCCCAAACCCAAAGTTCAATTTAAAAGAAAATAAGAGTTGACCGTTGAGATTGTTCGGAGCTCATCCATGTAAATCTAATGGCCAGATCATCTCCAGCATCGTATATGACGATGACTTCTATCATACACCAAACATATATTGGGGTATGTCGTACACCAGCAATCTCCCCCGTCCACGTCCATCTTAACGGCCAGCATTGATGCACTAGAAGTCCTGGTCTTATACAAGTTGTTTTATTTTCTTACTCTTAGTTTGCATCATCAAGTGCACAAGAGCTTTCTGGGTGGGTAGAGGCTATGCCCAAACATGGAAGGAGTCGTCGATGATATGATATACCACTATTGTCGATGTTATGTTGATGGTAATGTTATGTTGATGGTAATGTTAAGTTGATCATGTTGCCTCACTATTGTTGTTGTCATTGTTGTTGCCTTTATGTTGTTGTCTCTATCGTTGATATACTGTCGTCACATTGCTGCTACTTTTGTTTAGTATTGGGAAGTATTTAGTTATTTGATTGTGATATGATCCCAAATTTCTTGCCTTTGAAGCTTCCGTGGAGTGGTCAAGAAGCAAAGCCAATGAGGAACAACTTGGGTGGCTTGGTTCTATCAATGGAAATTCGAGTTTGATGGCTTGTTTTGAAGGTGACATGTTCCTCTACAAGGTGGAAGGCTTGGAAGTTCAAGTTGAAGTCTGGAGAGTCACGAATGAATCTCCCAATTAAAGTGGCTATGTCAAAATCGAGGAGCGGCATGCTTTTAGCTAAGGCAAATAGTGAGTTCGAGGTGCCAACTTTGGAGCTTAATAAGTGGAGTTTGGGACACATCCAGAGACTAATTCGAGTTGTAATGGGAAGAAGAGTAATTTCTAAACCAAGGGCAGGAATTGGATGAAGACGATTGGCCTGGGAAGATCATTATTTAGGCACTCAAATATGCTACCCCGAGCAGCCAGAAATCCGCATGCCATTAGGATTCCGAGTTGGATTCAGATTACTTGTATAATTTAGTTTCATTGCTGAATTAGGTTAGTTTCAATTCGTGTTTAGGTTTGTTTAAGCTTGTTTATGCCTATAAAAAGGCCTCATTCCTGTATTGTGAAGTTTAGAGTTGAATTGAAGAGAAACCCCCAAAATTCCCAACTTGTGCGTTGTGAGTTTGTTCTTGGTTTTGGTTGCGATCAAAGCTTGTTGAAACTGGCCTATTGATCGAGTAAACCCACTCGATTACATCGAAGGCATCTTTATAACGATCGTGCAATCTCCCAGGTGTGAGATTTCCCTTTCGTTTCCAACAAATTTACTTTCAAACTTGCTTACCTAAGCTCGTTTGAGAGACTCTGTTTTGTGTTCGAGACAAAGGAACCTTCGATTCCTTTGTTGTGGTGAAGCTGTGTGAATCTGATCATAAATACCCATTTAGGACGTTATTAGATTGCTTATGGAAAAGTGAAGTTAGTAGTTGCAGATAGGGGTGTCAGATCGGGTTGAGTTTTGATATTAACCGAACTCGAACCTATAGGATATAAATGGTTTGGGGTTAGGTTAAAAGTAAAATGAAAACCTGTTAAGTACCCGATAAGAAACCAAAGCTTGAACGAACGTC